GCTGCCGCCGCTGCGGCGGCCGCGCCGCTGCCGGCGCGGCGCGCGGCGATCACGCGGCGGGCGACGGCGGCGGGGTCGGCGGCGCCGCCGTCGGCGTCGGGGGTGTAGCGGCCCCACGCCCGTGCGGCGCGCAGGGACAGCCAGATGAGGGCGCCGAGCATCACAAGGTCAAACAGGCGCGCCAGCACCCACAGGCCGATCGTGGCGCCGTGGCCAGCGCAGCGCTCGCAGCGCGCGGCGCCCACCTGGGGGAGCGTTGATGGGGAGGGTGATTGTGGGGTCAGGTCAGGGTTATGATGTTCCAGACGGCAGAGGGCGTGGGAAAGCAGAGGCGAGCGAGGCGTGCCCACGCATGCTAGCTTCATGCCCACCCACGCCCTGTTGCTCAGGGGTCCAGGAATCCAGCCACCCCCAACATTCCCACCCGCAAGGAAGCTGCCCCGCGCCGCCCGGGCCCCGCCCCCTCACCTTCCCGAGCCTCTCGCCGCCTATCTCCCCGCACTGCCCGCACAGCCGCCCGGCGTAGCCCGGGGCGCAGAGCATCTGCTCGTACTCGCGGACCGCGCCCGGGTCCGCGGCCACGCTCAGGACAGTGGAGAACCCCTCCCTCTGCTCGTCAATGATCGCCTGCTGCTGCGCGGCCGTCCGCGCGCACGCGGCCGGGTTGAGGCACGCGTGCACCTGCGTGCTGCGCGGGCTGCTATGCCATGCGCCGGGCAGCGGCGCGACGACGGTGCCGTTGCACCACGCGCCGGGCGGGCAGGTGCCGCACTCCGAGGCCTTCGGGTCAAACGAGAAGGACCCGGGCCCGCAGGTGCGGCAGCCGTCCGCCCGCGTCAGCACCGCGCCCGCCTCGCACGCGCGCAGCCGCACGGCCAGCGGCGCGGCGGACGCGCGGCCCTGCGCGCCGACGGCGGACAGCCAGACGGTCACGGTGCCGTTGACCGGGCCGACCACCTCCAGCCCCCGGAAGGTGGCGACGCCGCCCAGCACGATGGCGGTGGTGGTGCCGGCCAGCCGCACGCCTGCAGCAGGGCGCGGGGCCGCTGCAGACGCGTTGGCGCCAGCGGCAGCCTTGCCGGCCGGCGCCGCCTTGACAGCCGGCGCTGCCTTGCCGGTAGTGTTGGCGGCGGCGCGTGTGGCGTTTGCCGCGGCGCCGCCGCTCCCGCTCCCGCTCGCCGCCTTGGCAGTCGCATTGGCGGGCTTGCCCGCAGCCGCCGCCCCC